CTATAATAAGAAGTAAAAACCCACCTACTTTATCCTTATTTCCAAATTGAGATTTTGTAATTTTTAATCTCACCCCTTTTTTATATTTAGTTAGCTTACTTTTTTGTCGATCAGTTAAATTAAATTTGTTTTTTCCATTACCAATCTGTGTATGTTTTAATTAAATAACAACATCAATCTTATTTTAGAGCTTTTTCTAGCTTTTACAAGCTTTTTTACTTGAGAATCATACAAATCTAAATTCATTTAATATAAATAAAATGTACTAAAAAATTAAATAAATTCCATACCAAAATATCTCATTGCTTTCATTGCATTTGTGGTGACAAAAGCAGCTGTTTTTTCACCTGTAGATACATCTGAATCTAAAAATCTATCCCATGCTTTATTTTCCAAAATGTTATATAAATTTATGTTTTATAAAAATAATCATGTTCCATTGCTGCCACATCTAGTTTATTTACTGGTTTTTTATTTTTTTCTAAATCAGTAAAAGGACCAAGATAATTATAACCAGGCCAMTGTATTTCTGGCATAAATTTATTGTTTAAAAGATTATTCATAAGACCTGATCCTTCTACAATTTTTTCAGGCAAACTTGTTACATAAGATTTAAATACTCAATTCCTCGTGAGGTATTAGCTAATCTTTCCAATTCAGAAGTAAAAATATGCACAATATCAATTTTTTCATTATGAAAATTATTATTTCCTGCTTTTTCTTCACTAGCAATAAAATATAATCTTTAATAATTCACATAAATTATGTATATATGTATACTCAATAGGATCTTCTGTATATTTTTTTAGACCACTTTCTTCTTTTTCTTCTTCTTGTGAAACAGTTTCTACCTGATTTTGTACGTCTTTATTGGTTTTCATTTCTTTCCAAATAAGAGAAATCATTTTAAGATATTTTTCCCCTTTACTTGACTTAACTCTTCCTGTATCTCTATCATTGTTTTGATATAATGAATCGGTACTAATTAATATTTCTTTATAATTATTTAAATCTTTTGGTGTGTAATACTCTGGTGAAGCATAAATAGAATAGCATAACATTCTAAATAATCCGTCTGTTCCTTCATATGTTTTTCCATTTACAATTATATTATCATATTTAAAATTTACTACATCTTTCCCAATCATATAATTATCAGTAACTTCATTATTATATATACCAAAATGCTTATCTTTAGCACGAGGTAGATATTTGTATATTTTTTGATGTTGTCATTATTTTTGGGGACATATTTTTTTCTAATTGGTGATCTTATTTCYAGAGGTGATATAGTACCTAAAGTTGGCTTGATTGGAGTATTTGTACCATCTGTCAGCCTTAATATTTCTGATTGTCTATATGGAACCATAATTTTTTTCATATCTTCGTCTGTTTATTTATTTATATATTTATTAATAAATTAATATTTTTTTATTTATTTCTTTAACTTCATTAACTGCATTTACAATATTTTTTAATTCATTTGTTACTGGTCCAAAAGATTTTTCCTTTTCTTCTTCAGTATATATGTTTCTCAAAGCTGCATTTTTATACAGTTGGTCAGGTCATCTTTAAGTTGAATTATTT